AGAGAACTGAGTCAAATCTAGAAAAATCCCCAATTGATAAATAATCAAAGGATATGAACAGCAGTTTTCAGAAGAAGAATCAAATCTATCTAAAATTAAACATTAAAAAATGCTCTAAATCACTATTGATTAGAGAAATGTGAATTAAAACAACTCTAAAGTACCATCCCATACCTATCAGATTGGCTAATATGACAGAAAAGGAAAGGACAAATGTTGGAGAGGATTTGGAAAAATTGGGACCCTAATACACAGTTGGTGGAGTTGAAAACTGATTGATCCAACCATTCTGGAGAGTAATGCTCAAAGGGCTATAAACCCATGCATACCATTTGACTCAGAAATACCACTACATCTGTATCCCAAAGAGATTTTTAAAAAAGAAGAAAAAGGATCTATATGTACAAAATATTTATAGCAGTTCTTTTCGTGGTGCCAAAGAATTGAAAATTGAGGGGATGCCCATCAATTGGGGAATGGCTGAACTAGTTGTGGTATACGATTGTGATGCAATACTATTGTGCTATAAGAAATGATGAGCAAGATACTGCAAAAGAACTTGGAAAGACATATATGAACTGATGATACATAGTGAAATGAGCAGAACCAGGAAAACGCTATACATAGTAACAGCAACATTGTGAGATGATCAACTGCGAATAACTTAACTGTTCTGAGCAATACAAGGATCCAAGTCAATTCTGAAGAACTTATGATGAAAAATCCTATCCACCTCCAGAGAAAGAATTGATGGAGTCTGAATGCATATGGTAGCATACTTTTTGATCTGTTTTCTTTCACAACATAGCTAATATAGAAATATATTTTGTATGACTGTACATGTATAATATATATCAAATTGCTTGCCTTTTCATGGAGGTAGGAGAAAAAGGAGGAAAAGAGAGAATTTGGAACTCAAAATTTTAAAAAATCAAATGTTAATAATTGTTTTTATATGTAATTGGAAAAAAGTTGAATATTATCTTTTTTATTTTTAACATTCTTCTCTTTTTTAAATTTTGAATTCCAAATTCTCTCTCTCCCTGCCAATCCCTTCCCCACTCCCTGAGAAGGCAAGTAATATGATATCAATTATACACTTGAAATCATGCAAATCATATTTCTACACTAGCCATATTTCAAAAAATAAAGTGAGAAAATTATACTTCAATTTACATTCAGAGTTCATCAGTTCTCTCTCTGGAGGTAGATTGCATTTTTTCATCATGAGTCCTTTAGAATTGTCTTGGATCCTTGTATTGATCAGAGTAGCCTAATCTTTCACTGTTGATCATCATTGCTGTTGCCATTCAGTTGTTTTCAGTCGTTCTGATTCTTCATGACCCCATTTGGGGTTTTCTTGGTAAACCTACTGGAGTAGTTTGCCATTTCCTTCTCCAGCTCATTTTACAGAGGAGAAAACTGAGGTAAACAGGGTTAAGTGACTTGCCCAAGGTCACACAGCTAGTACTTCTCTGAGGCCAGATTTGAACTCAGGAAGAGCCATCTTCCTGACTTTAGGCCTGGCACTCTACCCATTGCACCACCTAACTGCCCCCACTCTACCACCTAGATGCCCTTATCATTATTACAATACTGCTATAACTGTGCACAATAGTCTCCCAGTTCTTCTCATTTCACTTTCATCAGTTCATATGGGTCTTGCCATATTACTCAGAAACCACCCTCCTTTCCCACAGAACAATAGGACTCCATCACAATCACATGCCACAACTTGTTCAGTCATTTCGTTCCCCAACTGATGAGTATTCCCTCAATTTCAATTCTTTGCCACCACAAAAAAAAAGCTGCTATATTTTTGTACATATAGGTCCTTTTCCTTTTTCTTTGGTCTCTTTGGAAAACAGACCTAGTAGTGGTGTTGCTGGGTCATGAAATCTTTTTTTTAACCATTCTCCCCAAGTATTCTCCTTTTAGCTTAATCAAAGTTAAACCCAAGAGATATTTCCATTTACTAAATTAATAAAAGATTTCTTTCTCTTAGATTTATTATCCCTAACTGTTTCAGGGAGGAGTCCCTCCTGGGTTAAGCAGATTTCTCTATTTACAAACTAGTTAGACCTTCAGTAAGTACAAAGATTTCAGTGAAGGACATTGTCTTAATGATGAAGCATCTAGTAGAAGCTAGGAGTGAGGGGAGGATCAGGAAAGGCTTTGTGTGAAAAGTGGTGCTTGAGCTGAATCCTAAGATAAATAAGAGGTGAAGAGACAGTTAAAGAATGAATGCATTGCAGAGGTTCTCAAAGTGGGCAGTACCACCCCCTGGGGGACACTGGAACAATCCTTAAAATGGGATCAAAGAACAAGATACCCAAGGCAATGTGAGTTCACATCATTAAGAAGGCATCATCAATGCCACAGTAAAGGCTCTATCTGAATTAACCTATTAAAAAGGACCTAACCTTAAAAAGGAGTTTGACTTGAGGGGTTTCCAGGATTCAGAGATGGTAGTAACACCAAGAAAGGAAATTAAGAAAAAAGCTGATACATGCACAAACAGAGAATTTGGTTGGAGGCTATACAAGAGTTCAAGAAGAAAATCCCCATGAAAGCAGTAGATTGTTAGGAAAGAATATGATCTGGAAACCTAGACACCAAAAGTACTTCCCTAGAAAAATCCTTCAGGTGGATCTGTGGGAAAAATAGACACAAAAGGGGTGGAAGCAAAGGGAATTTAGCTTTCAGATCTTATCAGCTCACTTGAGAGTTTAAAGCTGAAACTGCTACTTTTTGTTTTTGTTAAACAAATTCTATTTATCTATGTGAATGAGCAATCCTTCCAGGGTCACATAAATAATTACCCTGGATAGCTATTCCTGAGATATACCCCTTTGTGCCAATGTTAAACAGTAGCACTATGTAGTGAAACATACCCTTTACATGTTAAGACGGTTAACATGAGAGTGATATACATATGAAAGAGGACTTTATTATGAAACTGTGCATCTCCCTTAACTACAACTTGTTTTTCCTTTTAAGGAAATAATAACTTTAATATATAATTTTCAAAGTTGCCCTGTTTGTGTTTCTATCTTGCTTTCTGTTTTCTTCTGTGCACTTTTTTTTTCAAAATCTTCAATGAGCTCTTTCTCTTTCTTTTGGGCATCCTATCTCTAGCTCCCACTTCCTTCCCATCTGCCCTCCCCAACTAAAAAACAAGAAGAAAAAAACTTTGTCACAAATATACATAGTCAAGCAAAACAAATTTCCACAGTGCCCATGTATATGGCTAATTCCATCTTCTGAGTTTATCACCCCTCTGTCATGGGATGAGTAAATGCTCTAACATCTGCCCTCAGATTTGCCATTTCCTTTTTCAGAGTTCTAAAGTCTTTCATGATAGTCTTTTTGTGGTGTTGTAGTCATTTTATAAATTATTCTCCTGGTTCTACATTAGTTTGTGCAAATCTTCCCAGGTTTCTCTAAAACCATTCTTCTTGTCATTTCTTATGGCTCAATAACATTCCGTTATATTCACCTACCACTTGTGCCAGGTAGAAGTTCTGGGGACTACAATTAATTACATCCTCAGCCAATTTGGGAGAGCTGGGCTACAAGAGCTAGGCAAAAAGATGGAGGTTTTGACAGAAAAGGGTATATTGCAGATTAATATTAATTATCAAATGATACTATACAATATTAATTTTCCTCACACTATTTTTTCATATATTCCCCAATTGGTAAGCATCTCTCCTTTGTTTCCAGTTATTTGCAATAAGAAAAAAAGCATCTATAAGTATTTATATACAAGTCTATTTCCTCTTTTATCTCTGGCATATGCCTCATAGTATTATTACTACGTTACAGTATCTGCATTTTAGTAACTTTGTGGGAATACTTCTAATTGCTTTCCAGAAAGTCTGGAACAAATTCACAGTCATACCAACAGTATAATGGTGTGTTTGTTTTCCTGTAGCAACTCCAACAATTGTCATTTTCCATTTTTTTGTCATCTTTGGTCAATCTGATGAATGTGAAACTTCAGAACTTTCTATTTTAATTTCCTTAAATATCAGTTATTTGGTACTTTTTCCACATGGCTGTTGATAGCTTAGATTTCTTCTTTTGAGAACGGCCAGTTCATATCCTTCGACCAATTTTCTATTGGGGAATGGCTCTTGTTTTTATATATTTGAATTAGTTCCTTGTCTCTTTTGGATATCAAAGATTTTTTTCCCCAGTTAACTGTTTGTCTTCTAATTTTTACTGTTAGTTTTGTTTGTGTAAAAACTTTTTAATTTTATGTAATCAAAATTTATCTCCTGTGATTCTCTCTATCCTGGTCTGATCATGAACTCTTCAGATACATAGAATATTAGGGGTGAAGAGAAATTTAAAGATCATCTAATCAAACCTCTTCATTTTTCCCTACCATACTGCTATAAAACTTAGTATATAAAGTGCAATAAAAAGCCCACTACTTCTTGCTGCTTCTTCCTAATCTGGTTAGAGGAGAGAGAGGGGAAGATAAGTATTATGCTGGTTTTATTAAGGAGTCATATAAACTTGCCTAATCTTTATGTATAAAACATATAAATGAACTATTTCAAATGTAAAGTTTTCAAAATGCAAAAAAATCTATTTTAATTATCCTTTTATCATATTAGTTATTGTCATTGTCAATATATCACCTGGTCAAGTTCTTGTAAGAGCTCATGTCTTATTTATTAATTATTTTATCTTCCTCACTGTTCAGATCTGTATATGTATATCTACATACATATACACCTACATGCATATACATATATGTATATTTGTTAAACATAAATATAAAAAAGATTCTACTGTACTAACAAATTACTATATATTTTATTTGGATTTCTACAGAAACATCTCTTGAAACCGCCAATAAAAATCCAAAACATTTTAAATTGATATTACTAAATACATTAGTTTTAAGTGACTTCTAATTTTCATACGTAAGAATTTTAAACTCTGTGAACTCTGTCATCCTTCAAATGGTGAAAATTATTTCTTACCCCACAATACTGTTCCTCATTAAAGATCTGTGGAGGAAGAGGAATTCCATTTTGTGGTTTTTTCTCTCCAGGTACATTCTCTCTCATCCATCTCCTGTTGTCTTCATCACCAGCAATATCAAGTTCCTTAAAGTCAATTTTATTGGCTTCCAAAAAGCCCACTACTTCTTGCTGTTTCTTCCTAATCTGGTTAAAAGCAGGGAGGGAAAGATAAGCATTATTCTGAGTTTATGTAGCAGTCGTATAAAATTGTGTAATTTAAGATTTTTTCATTTAATTTTTTCAATTAAATGCAAACAATTTTTAAATCTTATTTAGTATTTTATTTTTCCCAATTTCATGGAAAAACAATTTTAACATTCTTTTTTTTATTTTGAATTCCAAATTCTCTCCCTCCCTTCCTTACTCCTCCCTCCCCCCTGCCCATTGAGAAGGTAAGCAATTTGACATAGGTTATATATGCAAAACACATTTCCATGTAAGTCATTCTATGAAAGAAAATACAGGGAAAAAAAACAAGAAAAATAAAGTAAAGAAAAAGTATCTTTGATCTGCATTCAGGCTCTACCAGTCATTTTTCTGGAGATGGACAGCACCTTTCATCCTAAGTCCTACAGAATTTTCTTGGATCATTGTATTGCTAAGAATAGCTAAATTATTCATGGTATATCATCATACAATATTGCTGTTACTATGTACAATTTCAGATTGACGAGCAGGATGATATATGCAAATCATTTGAAGAACATACAGCTGTTATAGACCTATTACTTGGAGAATACAATGAAAGGTACACTCACTTTGAGAATCATGACATCACACTCAAATTAGCATTTCAGCCTCACCTAGTTGATAGCACCAAAACACCTAAAGAAGTACAGATGGAATTGATTGAGCTCTCAGTAAACGACATTTTAAAGTCATTGTTTGATTCTAAAAAAGATCCAGTAGAAATACGGGAAAATGCAGTAGAATACCGATGCCTTGAGCAACATGCCAAAAAAATGCTTTCTTGCTTTTCAACCACTTATTGCTGTGAATCTACATTCTCCTTATCTAACCCAAGTCAAGATACCCTTCAGGTCACAAATGACTGATACCCATCTACAGGATCAACTGAAACTGCGAGCTCCATGTTGCAATCAAAGATTCAAATGCTTTCCAACAAAAAGCAGACACAACAAAGTCATTAAAAGGTTAGTTAATTTTAAAATTAACAAATAATTTTCACTTTTTCAAATTATCAAGTATATAGCAGTTAGATTTTTATGAAATAATGCACATTTTAAAGTATGTCTAATTGAAGTTTCTTGAATATGGACTTATTTGATTATAGCTAAATATTAAGCAGCCTTCCAACATGAAAAGGTTCCCCACCCCTGGTCTAGCATCTAAATACTTTAAGTAAATCCTAATTGAATTTTAGGTGATAATAGCAAAACTTTAACAGTTAGAAGCCCCAATGTGATACTTTCAGACCTAGACAAAAAGATAAATAAGAAAGTAGCAAAGAACCTGAACAGATTTTTTTTTTATTTTAGATATGATAGATTTCTGGCAATTACTAAGTGGAAATAGAAAGGAATATATATATTTCTCTGTTGAGCATAGAACCTTTGCAAAACTGATCATACAATAGAGCATAAAAATTTCATAAACAAATGCAAAAAAACCCACCCAGAAATACTAAATAATCCTGACACAATAAAAATTATAATTGATAAAGGAGAGAGGGGTAGTACCATGATTATTGTTTTTACTAACAAGCACAATTAAATTTTTCTGCCTTAGCCCCGCATTGTTTGGCTATAGTCCTTTCCCAAAATCTCAACCCTTCCCTTCCACCCCCCTCCCAATTTGAGGCAGTGATGGCTGTAGTGGTAACAACAGTGAGGGCAACAGCAGCTGCAGCACTGAATATTCTCCCAGCATGCCACTATCCCATCTTCTTTCTTTCCTTCCTCTCTTTTCCCATCATGCTGCAGAGAGACATCATAGCCTCCCTCTGGTCACCCTCATGGCATTGTATCATCACAGTTGAATCCATTTGAATTTAGATTTGCAGCAAGAGTCATCTCTCTAGCTCTAGACATCCCCCTCAACACACCTAAATACATCTCACTTCTTCTGGAATTTCAGACCCCCTCCTTCAAGGACAAGGGGAGAGAGGGACTATATTTTCCTTGGGGTAATCAAAGCCACCTCTAGTCCTTGTATCAGAATACGAAGATGATTTCTCTTCTGTCCTGTTACCATCCATCTCAGATGGATGATATAGTCTCTTTGGATAAAGGGGACTATGTTCATAATAGATATTAGTGCTATAAATATAAAACAGGAAAGGAGAAACAAAAAACTTGAATAGAGCACGTTTACATACCTCCACTTTCAAAACACTTAAATTAAAACGGAAAATCATCCAAATGTTTGGTCTACCTTTTTCCTTTCTTCATTTGCATTACAATGCACTTTGATTTACCTACTTATCTGAATACTCCTCAGTTTCCTTTATCGGTATCCATGTCCTTCCCCTTTAGGGTGTACCCTAAAAATCTATCCCAGGTCTTTTTCATTTTCTATCCACAGACTCTTCCTTGGTAGACTCTTCATCTCCTACGGGTTCAACTATCTCTTTGCACATGACCTCAAGATCTGAATATCCATCCTTGGTCTCTCTCCTGAGCTTCAGTCCCATATCAGCAATGTCCTAGTAGAGACATTTCTGCCTGGACATGTCCCTTAGGAATCTCAAGCTCTACATGTACAGAGCAACTCAATGTACCTTGTCCTCTCCTAAACAATACCCTCTTCTGAACTTCTAGGTGTCTGTGAAGGACACCACAATAATTCCAATCATACAGATTTGCAAACTCAGAGTCGTTCTTTACTCATCACCCTGTCTTCATCATATATGAGGTAACTGACAGACTAGTCAGTAGCCAAATCTTGTCAATTCTGTCTACACAAGATCTGTTTGATCTATGACCTTTTGCTGAACTACTGCAATGGTCTTCCGGTCTCTCCATTTCAAGTCTCTCCCCACTCCAGTACAAATTCCACTCAGATAGCTAATTGCTCTTCCTAAAGATTTGACCTTCCTAAAGGCCTGACTAGGTCACCCCCTTTTTCAATAAATACCATTAGCTTCCCACTGCTATGTGCTTCCATGTATATATGTTATCTTTTCATATGGAATGTAAGTTACTTGAAGAAAGAGATGATTTCAAATTTATTTTTGTATTATTAGGCCCTGGTAGAATACCTAAGAGGCATTTGATAAAGGCTTATTGATTTAGCAGATACTTGAAAACTATTAGAAGAATAAATTAATGCCCCAGTTATTTTATCCCCTTATTCCAATAGCTGTAATTTTACATTTATTTCAGATTTACTTCCTATGACCAGTTGATCCATGGATGCCACTTAGTTAAGAAGAGGTTCTAGAAAACAACTCCTCCTAGGTCAACAAGGAATAAGATATAAAACCTGTTCATTTAAATCCTTAAGACAACATTTTCACACAAAATCTGCTTTATAAAGCTCACTTAATACCTTTTTGAAATGCTGATAAAATGTGATTAAGATAAAATTCACACACTTAATTCTGTACCAAAGTAAAATAAAGAGGATTTATTTTACAGAGAAAACCCTAAGAACACAAAACAACATATGAAACTAAATTAATGCAATCTTTAAAACTTACCATAACATAGCTCAAAATTTTAAAAAAGCCCTCTTTCCCACCTCAGTCTCCCACCCCTATGATTGCCCACTATACATATGATTTAAAAGGGACCATTTATCAGAATAAATAAAAATGCAATTCCTTTTGGCCCATAGGGATTAAAATAAATGTCTAAAAGTTCCAAAAAGTCAAAGTTTTAATGGATTGAAAAACTGGCCTATTCTAAAATGTCAAACCTGTAGATTATAGGCAGCATAATATAGTGGAAGCTGGCTGAAAGTTAGTAGACAAGTCATTTAACATCTTGACCCCCAACAATATTAATTTCCTTTTCTTCTTCAAATTACAGTATATTTATTTATCTGTGTATATAAGATAAACAATGTGGTGAATGGAACTCTGTACTTAGTGTCAGAAAACTCTGAGTTCAAATCAGGCCTCTAGCTAGTGACTTCCCATATATCATTTAATCCCTAAGGGACCCTGACAACTTTCTTAAAAACTTATAGATCAAGGCATAGTCAAGATGGCAGCCAAAATTCCCACCATTCCTCTTCTACAAAGATACATAAAATATACCAGATTGAATCATGATTGGAAAATCCAAGGAAAAAACCATAATGTGCCATTTTTCCAGCCCAAATTGGCAAACGAAGACAGAGAGTTCTAGAGACATTAGGTATAGGGTCTGACTAGCAGCATGCTTTATGGAACATTCCAGATCCCAGAGTCTGAAAAAAGGACTGAGACTGGTGCAGGAAGCACCAGGATAGGAAGGAGTCCCATAGTTCTTGAACTAGTGCAGAGTGAGGGAACAGGTACCATGTGAATTACCCAGTCCCATATCACAAGATTCAGTTGGACTGAGAAAGGAACCCGTGCCCAGGGGTGATAGAGAGGAACAGTCACAATCATAGGCCTTAGTTATGTACTGAGGGACGAAAAAGTTCAGAAACAAACAGCAACTAAGTGGTTCTGGCCCCAGAATCAGAGCAGGGACTCAGTTAAAATCTTCAGCCCAGGATAACACATATAATGGAATAACCAGGGCAAGAATCACAAATATAGAGGAGCCTGCAATTCAGGCACTATAAACCTGCAAAATCTCCCATGGACTAATTGTAGCTGAGTCTAACAGCAATCTACTTAAACTTCCAACCATGACAGAACTGAGAGAGGTCTTGCTCAAACTCAAATCTAAGTCAAGGAGAGAATAGGGGTAGGGCAATCAGACTTTGCCATGGATCACATACATCACTCTTACATCTAGCATCTTGCAGGTGCCCAGACTGAGCTATCCCTGAGATTCTAGAATAACACACCACTTAATACCCCCAAGGAAGCAATAGAAGAACCTAGAATGACAAAAGCTCAGCCCAGAGCTATAGCCCAGGAGTGTGCTCAGCCCATCCATAAGTTCAAAGTCAAGAAGTAGGATGAAAGAATGAGCAAGTTTAAAAAAAAATCCCAACATAATGATAACAGGAAATCTCAAGATATG